TGACCTTAGTATGTCTTTTTATTTTGGAAACAGTGTGTCTTATCCACAAAAAATATAAAAATCAATTTGGGAACACCGCAACTTATAGTACACGTCAGTCTTACTCCGTTTCCCTTCCCACACCTTCTCTAGCCCTTACACAAAATTCTATTATTTTCAATAGCAAGAAGTTATTTAACCACCTTCCCATTAATTTAAGGCGAATATATAATGGAAAGAAATTCAGAAAGAAAGTGAAAGAATACCTTGTTGGGAGGCCCTATTATAGTGTGGACGAATTCTACCAAGGCTCTATCGAATAATTGACATGTAGCTTTGTGTAAACAAGTTATTGAAACCAACACAAAATGGCTATCAATGTTCATTATGTAGAATTATATATTTACGTTTACTTAATATTCATAAATTCATGTACTTATATTTGTAGCTGTTCAGCTGGACTTAATATTGTTCTGTCCATATACTCTGCTCCGGTGTTTAAGCATTATTTTATAGTTTATATTTGTTAATTGTCCCTTATACATGTTTTACTTTACTAAACTTTGCCAATAAGATGTTTATATCTTAGGTAATAAAGCATATTTTGATTTGATTTGATTTGATCCCCCCCTGAATATTCACCAGTATGCTTATCAAACCGGCGAATCGACAGATTTAGCATTAAACAAACTCGTTGAGAAAATCTCCCAATCCCTTGACAGCAAGGAGATTGTGGTTGCTGTATTTATTGATATTGGAGCATTTGACAATGCACTACCTAAATCTATAGGATTGTCTCTGGCTAGGAAAGGTATAGAATCAACCATAACTGGCTGGATCTATGCAATGCTGGTGAACAGAACTGCAACTACGGCTCTTCAAGGAGAGGCCATTAGGATCAGGGTCACCAGGGGCTGCCCTCAAGGTGAGGTACTATCTCCCCTTCTGTGGTCGCTCCTGGTGGATAGTCTGCTTGATGCCCTCGACAGAAGAAAAGTTGATCTGCAAGCTTATGCAGATGACCTTGTCATCCTGGCAAGGTCCACGTTGTAATATCCTCCAAAGCACGTTGGAGGATGTTCACACAGTTGGTACCTGAGGGAGCAGATGTCTATCAACGCTAGGAAAACTATGTTAATCCCCTTCACCAGGAGGAGAAAATTGCACAATCTAACGCCACTTTACCTCAATGATGAGGTAATTCCATTTGGAACGGAGGTGAAATATTATGGCATTGTCCTTGTTAAAAGACTCACCTGGGACGCTCACTTGGAAAAAGTTTTACACAAAGCCAGCGTGTCTCTATGGACATATCGAAGGATTTTTGGTAAAACTTGGGGTTTGGGGCCCAAACATTCATTGGATTTATGTGACGATTGCCAGACCAATGATCACTTATGGTGCAATTGCTTGGTGGCTGAAGGCTTCACAGAAAACGGCCCAAGCGAAGCTCTCTGGCTTACAGAGACAGACTTGTCTGGCTATAGGCCTTTTCATCATAAGACAAGCGCAAGCGTAGCTGTCAGATTGAAACGGCGGTAATTCAAAACATTCGTACTGTTTTAATCAACAATGGCTGGGCAAGGAATATTTCTACAAACAAATTATTAGAGAAAACCATTGCTTCACTTGTTTATAATTCAGTTGAGGCTCATAACTGTGAACAATTAAAAAGGTAAAGAGAAATTTTTGGGAAAGAAAGTTTTTGGCTTTCTACTACTCCATCTTGATACAAAAAAGAAGGACGAGGGAGTCTTTCAAAGAAAGGAAGGAAGTAACTCTATACATGAATGTGTAGATCATGCAAAGAAGTAACTTTCAGACAAACTGAAAGAAAGTTGTCCTGAAACAGCTACTTTCATATAAACATTGAATTATAGGAAAGAAAAAATTCTTTGAAACAACTACTTCTATATGAACACTGAATTATACAGAAGATACTTTTGTCTGAATTATACAGAAGATACTTTTCTCTGTATAATTCAATGTTCATATATAAGTATTTGTTTCGAAAGAATTTTTTTTTCATTGTATCATTGTATCAAGATGGAGTAGTAGAAAGCCAAAAACTTTCCCAAAAATTAATCACTCCTAAAAAATATAACCCCTTCAATTTCAAGTAAAGAGGTAAAGAGAAATGATCTCCTACCACGTAGTAACGGCTACATCCATCAATTTAATTAATAAGGTGGTTGAAACGTCATGGGCGTCCGCAAAAAGGAAAAAAAGTGAACTGATTGAGAGGTTAGGTATCAGCATTTGTTTACTGTCAAAAAACATATAAAAAAATAGTATTTACAGTTTTATTCTTATTAATAATGTCAATGGACATGGAACTAAAAAATAAATCAAGCCATTGAAATTTTGAGGCTGTACATATTTATGACATTATTAATTAGAAAAATATGTAAATACCTACTGAATGGAATATGTTTAGTAATTTTTATTAGAGGGAAATATTTAATACAACATTATATATATGAAATTTATGGAATTTAGTCAGAAATGCAATAAGGAATAATGTACGTATGTTGAAATTCCTGATAGCTTAAAGGATCAGGGTTTTGTTCAGTTGGACCACTTTCTCCAATGAAATGTAGTGAGCAAATATAAGGATCCTTGGTAACATCATCAATAGATTCAAAGCCTCGGTCACTCCTGCCACATTTTTTCACCCATAATTCACATTTTGCACATGCTTTAATATGTAATTTGCTTGATGATTTGACTATTTTTTTGCGATATTCAACACAAGGCTTTGGAAAATTTATAAAATAGTATGTGTTGGTTTTGAATGATTTGTATCGTGTATCATTTTTACATACTCCATAACAACACCGTTTTGTTGTTCCTTTTCGTACAGATAACATAATTATAATGGAGTATAATCATTTTTTTCTGATTATTTTGACTTACTACTTTTTCTTTCATTTTTTTACAATTAATAAACTTCAATTTATATTTCAATTTTTAAAACATGAGTTGCGGGCTCTTTAACATGGTTGTTTACAAAAAACAGTACGAAAAAGATGGCTGATACTGAAGCATGCGCACATATAGGAACGTAATATATGAAACAGTATTGGTAAAAATTCCATGACCGCACTTAATGGTGTACTTCATAAACATCTTCGTAAAAAGTCTATATTGAAGTTTTTTGTCTTTCTTTCCTTTAAAATTTCCTGCATTTTATTTAATGGAGAAGTAGAAAGTCGACTTCATATGAGTTGATTTGCAGCAGACAAATATGTTCCTAGACGTGCAAGTCAGCAGGACAAATCATATCTGAACCTACCAAGAGGTATGTAGCAAAAATAATCGAAAAGGAGCTAAACTGGTTCAAACTGAAGTTCAAAGAAGCACCTTACATACTGAACATCGATACATTCAGTCAACACGGCGTAAAAGTTATAATCGCATAGAACTCCTACATCATCCGAAAACGGATGATGACGAATCGATTGAAGTTTTCTCAGCGTGATGTTTTTTTCACATTCAGTGCCAATTTTCTGTGGTCGTTAAAGTCTAAACCATTCTTATCCTTTAGATTTGTATCGGCTCCTTTTTCCAAAAGTAAATTTATGATTTCTTCAGAGGCCTCTAGAATTGCTGTAAATGAGGGGACAAATATAAACAAATGAATTCATAGAGAATAATATAAAAAAAATATGTTAAACGGTTTTATTGAAAAAAAAGATTATAATGACTTAGATACTGTAGCAGAATAATAAAATCGTTGGGCGGAGTGTAACCTGAGAAAATATGTAAATAGTACGCCCAACGATCTGTTCAGTTCATTCAGTGCCTCAGTATTACAAGGTAATGTGTAATCCGCCATTTTGTTGTGGAATTGGTCGCGGTGGTAGTACGCCCGACTCACGATCGGAAGACCGTGAGTTCGATTCCCGCCTCGACCAGCAAAACTTTCGAAACAATCAGATAATAGTTTCTCTTAGCTCCTCGCCTAGAGAAGTCACACTGAAATAATTACCTGCTCTCATCAAAGCCGTCCAGCCATTGTTATCTTGACAATCGAGATCCTTCAAGATCCTCAAACAGAACTTGACACTTTCTTCCTTATTCGAGTCTGCCGCATAGTGCAGAACATTCAATCCGTTGATATCTGTCAATTTTTCATCTGCCCCTTTATCGATCAAAAGTGAGGCAATTTGCAACTTCCCCTCGTAGACGGCGACCATCAGTGGCGTGCGCTTATTGAAAAACAGCGGCCGGTTGACGTTGCTCCCCAATGAGATCAGGAGCTGTAGCATCTGGACGTCGCCTGCTTGAATTGATTGCACCAGGGGAGTTTTGTTTTCTTTGTTTTCTGTTTCCAGGAGGTGGGGTCTGGAAATCAGCGGGAGAAGTCATGGAAGAAGCCCAAAGTTGATGTAAACTAGGTATTTTTAATATCGAAAAAACTCGTCAAAATTTAAATAGCTTAACTTTTACCAAGAGATCTCTGAATATTGAGTTTAGTTGTGAAACTGAAAACAACGAGAAGTCGAGGTATGATAATGATATAGACCCGGAGGTAACAAAATAAAGGAAATTTAACAACTCTGCAGCAGCGGCTCGTCAGAGGAGGCTTAGCCTCCCCATAAAATTTGAGGCTATTCATCGCAATTAATTAAAAGATATTGTCAAGTATGTAAGATGCTTGGTTATCATTACTTTACCATCAATTTTTAATATAAATACATAATATGCCCAAAAAAACACTATCACTCATCACCTAGTACGTTCAACACTATATCCTGCATCAACAAAACTCAAACGCACCGCCCATGAACGAATAAACCATCAACCCGAAATAATAAATGCCATACGTTGCAAGGGAGCCAAGCCTCCGATCGCTTTGAAATATACAGGCTCCACGAGATCGATTCAACCAGCGACATACGTACCGATTTGTATTTTAAGTTGCAGAAATTATAGCGCTAGAGGAGGCTAGCCTCCAGTTGGTCTCCGTTAGTGTACGACTGCGTTTGTTATTTATTTAATTATTCGGACGGGATGCCGTCAACAGGTAGAAACATAAAAAACTTGTAAGTTACTAATAGAAAAACGTAGAATACTCTTCAGGATCGATTGAAGTGAAGAAGTATTTACTGAGTTATTACAGTTTATAGTAGACTCATAAAAACAGATAAGACTTCTGAAACACAATACCACATTGAAAATCGTTTGTAACTTACCTATTGTGAGCAATTTTTCTAACCAACGGCATTTTTCCTAATTTCACCGCCCTAGACATATGCATAACAGAACAATAAGGACCCTCATCTTCAGTAGCAGCTTTGAAATAACTCCATTCAGAGGGATAATCGATTTCTGGCCTAATTCGGAAAGAATAACAAGTGCATGGTGCCAAGTTTTCTACCTTTAATTGATTCCTTCGACCACTAAAAAACAAGACGATAATTCGAAGAGTGCTTATAGAAACCCATTCCTGATGGCCCCAAGGGAGAACTTTGTGGTATACAACAAATATAAGATTCGATAGGTTTATCCATGAAACAAATGTTTTACCAATAAATTGTTTTCCATTCTTTGAGGTCGTTGAATATTTGCCAGCGATAAGTGATATTATTTTCACTCCCGTCTTTGTTTTCCCATTCTAGAACCACACTGTTTCGCTTTCTCTCTAACGTTTTTGGTTTTTTGGCATCGTATTGTCCAGGAAAACAATGCATGGTTCGTATTGTTTGAATAGAAACACATTATTGATCAAACTTGATGAATGAACGAGGTCTTGTTTATGCTATGACACAATTTTTGTTATAATTTTGGAATTCCAACTTTTATGACAGTCTGTTATAGGTTTTCATAAATATGATTTGGTGCTTATACTATATAAGCTTATATAAGATATGAAACAGTTCGAATAAATACAGGGTGGACCATAAAAGCGCCAAGAAAACAACTTTTCGTAAAAATCCAAAAACAATTTGTAAGGGGACAAGTTTGATAAAAAAATCACCGAATATACATGAATGATGCGTCCTTGCCGGTTTTTGTCAACTGTTTACTAAAATTTATATAATTATACAGATATGAAAAACTGCGAGTGTCTCGACATAGATCCCATAGATAATTTTACTGGACATAGCAATCAAAAAAAGACAAACCATAGACATTTTTGACCCATCATCAGTATGGTAGAGCCAAGTGTAAGGATGTGCAACACTTGGTTGCCAAAATAAGTAGAAATGCACTTAGCCATCTGCAAAACCCAGTTGAACATTCGTGGTTTTTTTCGGTTAACAGATCTTATGTTCACAAGAAAACTACTTAAGTTAGGACGGAGGCAGCTAATACCTGCCTGCGTGACATCCGAGTCCAGGAAATCATGCAAATGTGAAAAATTTCGACCCATCATCAGTATGGTGTAGCCAAGTGCAAAAATAGGCAACACTTGGTTGCCAAAAAAAGTACAAATGCACTTAGTCATCTGCAGAAGTCAGTCGCAGTTTTGTG